TTATTATTAGCATAGATTGTCTTAAGAATTGTATCCTATTACAGAGACACTTGTTCATCTATGTTCATTGCTGCTCTCTCTATTCATAATAGCTAAAAAAAAAAAAAGAAATAGAAATAGCCTAGAGGTCTATCAGTAATGAATGGATAATGAAAATGTGGTAAGTCTACACAACATAATTTTATTTATCCATAAAGAAAATGGAATTATGTAATTTGAAGGGAAACACATGCATGGACATAGAAAATATTAAGTTCGGGAATCCAAAGTTGGAGAGAAAACATTGAATATTCTCTGTCATTGAAAAGGCTTAGCCTCTAGCTTCTTCTAAGACACACTGTCCACGAGGAGGAGGGCAGATGCCAGGAGGCCAGACAGGAGCCCATAGGAGGGGAAGTTTGCTAATAGCAGAAAATTATCCTGTAATTAAATTTTAGTGACTGGTATTAGTTAAAACCGCAAAAGTTGAGGTTGTTTGGATTAGCATCTGAACATTTATGAGAAATGGTATATTCCTGGTTGTGTTCTGTTAGGAACTGCTGTTCAAATGCCTCCAGGTGCATTTCTTCTTCTGGCCTGGAAGGCTACTGAGAATGTGGTGTTCTGCTGTGGCACATTTCTACATGTTTAATGTTTCCATTGATTTTCACTTTTATTTTTATCTGAATGCTTTTCATCTTGCAGTAGTTCTCACATGCAAATTTAATTTTTCCTTTTAAAAACTGTTTTCTTTGATATATGTATATATATTTCTCATATCCACCAATTTCCTCCTTTCTGCTTCCCCTGGACCTCCCAAATGTCTCCCAGCCTCATATCTCCTTTTTCTGTCCCACCGCATCCAATCAGTGCTGCTGTAAACACACAGGTATGACCTCATCCACTGGAGCGTGCGCAGTCCACCAGTGGCCACACCCTCAAAGACAAATGGCCATCCTTCCCCAGCGGCTGTCAACTGCCAACAGATCCTTGAGGCAAGGTGGGGTCTTGTGAGCCCCTCATCCATCCATGCTGGCATTTCTGACTGGCTTGATCCTATGTAGGTCATACAGGAGCAACCACCGCTGCTGTGAGTTCATGGGTACCACGAGCTCCGCTGCTGTGAGTTCATGGGTACCATGAGGACTGCTGCTGTGAGTTCATGGGTACCACGAGGACCGCTGCTGTGAGTTCATGGGTACCACGGGCACCGCTGCTGTGAGTTCATGGGTTCCACGAGCACCGCTGCTGTGAGTTCATGGGTACCACAGGCACCGCTGCTGAGTTCATGGGTACCACAGGCACCGCTGCTGTGAGTTCATGGGTACCACAGGCACCGCTGCTGTGAGTTCATGGGTACCACGAGCTCCGCTGCTCTGAGTTCATGGGTACCACAGGCACCGCTGCTGTGAGTTCATGGGTACCACAGGCACCGCTGCTGTGAGTTCATGGGTACCACGGGCTCCGCTGCTGTGAGTTCATGGGTACCACAGGCACCGCTGCTGTGAGTTCATGGGTACCATGAGGACCGCTGCTGTGAGTTCATGGGTACCACGGGCTCCGCTGCTGTGAGTTCATGGGTACCACGAGGACCGCTGCTGTGAGTTCATGGGTACCACGGGCACCGCTGCTGTGAGTTCATGGGTACCACGGGCACCGCTGCTGTGAGTTCATGGGTACCACGGGCTCCGCTGCTGTGAGTTCATGGGTACCACGGGC